AGAGGCAAAGTCTCATGGAGCTAAGCACTGGCCTCAAACTCATTTACATAGCTTCAACTTCTGATCCTTCTTGCTCCCATTTCTCAACTGTTATTATAGGCATACGCCATCATGCCCAGTTTTGTTCAGTGCTGTGGATCACACCAAGTGTCCTGCATGGCTCTCTGCCAACTGAGGCACACATTACCTCCCCACCCCACCTTACTCCAGTCAATTTCTCTGTCAGAGACCAAACACGTCTTACCTATGCCCTTGTTCCTGATGAAATCCGATGTTACGGGTCACCCACCTATCCTGCCATTCTTCCAGGGTTAGTACACGGTTCTTCTGCACTTCAGCATTGGGGAGCTCTTTCACACGGAGTGAGGTGGCATCAGCCATAGTTTGAAGGTAATTTTTGTCTCAGAGGATGGTATCTCCAGTGGCTAAATGGAAAAATATCTGCAATGACATCAGGACCTGTGATTCTATTGATGAACTATACAAAACCCTCTGGCAATAGCTTCTTAAAAATAGATGGCTCAGTGGTTAAGAGCACTGACTGCTCTTCCAGAGATCCTGAGTTCAAGTCCCAGCAATCATATGGTGGCTCACAATCATCTGTAATGAGATCTGATGCCCTCTTCTGGCCTTCAGGCACACATGCAGACTGAACACTGTATACATAATAAATAAATAAATAAATAAATAAATAAATAAATCTAAAAAATGTCAACATCAAAGCCAGGGTGGTATCACATGTCCCCAGTCCTTGGGAGACAAGAGTGTTGTTGCCAGTTCCAGGCCAGCCAAGGCTACACAGCAGGACCCTCTCTCAACAAAACAAACAAGACAGGCATGGTGGCATATACCTCTAAGCCCAGCACTAGGGAGGCAGAGGCAAGAGGCGCTCTGTGAGTTCCAGGCCAGTCAGGGCTACAGTGAGACCTTGTATCACAATAAACAAACACCAAAACGAACCAAAAAACAAAACCCAACTTTCAACATCCAATAAGTCATACCAAAAATTACATTTCGGTGAGTCTAGGACTAAGAACACTTCACTGTTCCATGACAGGAAAGTCGGCTTCAGAGAATAACCTGCACCCCACCCTACAAGCCTGCAGATGGAAACCTGGCTGTAAGAAGTTGACGAAAGGAGTTTGTGATCTTAGCCTTTTTGAAACCATAAATTCAGCCAATCATTGCCCCAGTTCCACTCCCACACCCATTTCTGGGACTAGTACTGTTAAGACAGGAGGGCTCGGGATGCTGTACTGCCGAGATCATCCATTGGCTGGCCCCATGGCCAGATCAGAGTTCAGCCTGTTGAACCCGTGGAGTGCTTACCCAGCAGTCCTCTGCTTCCTTCATGAATGGTTGACGCATTTAAAAATCCCGACATTTGGTAGGGCTTCAGGGGGGTGAAGAAGATAGATACGTGGGTTCAATATATTACTGCTACATTATTGAAAGATTGTATTGTCAAATAACGTTCTCATAGCTTTTGGAAGGGTCTTGCAAATTGAACCTATGGGTTCGTGTGTTCCAGGCAAGCAGTATGCCTCTGAGCTATAGCCCTGCTCCCACTTGCACTAGAACATGATTTAGAGTCCGTACTTAGGATTAAAGGATGCCATCCTTAACTCTGGGAAGAAAGACGCACCTCACAGCAAGTGTTTATTAACTAAAGGCTTTTTTCCAGGTTCTGATGTCAGGGGGCAAAGCCTAGAATTCTGAAAGATCAGTAGCAAGTATGGGATTATTGTGGATATAGAAAAGCAAGAGAAATTGCTCTTCTCCCTTCTGGATTTCCTATCATCAGAAACTGTGGCTCCAAAAGTTGCCCTCAGAAAGAAGTGCTCTTCTGAACTTGGAATCACCTTTACCCTGCCCAGCTCTATCCCTCTCACCGAGGCCGTCATAAATGCAATCACTTAGCTGTAGTAACAGGGCCTCAATGGGGTTTTCACTGTTCATTTCTGGAGAAATAAAATTCTGAACACAATAAAAGTGCAAAGTACGACGATAAGAAAAGACAAACCCACAATAGTTTCCTCTCATAAATGTTCACTTCCAGTATGCTCATTGGTCCAAGTCCTAAAAAAAACACTTGTTTCTGCTTTAGGATTAATTTTTTTCTTTTCTTTCTTTTTTTTTTTTTTTCAAGACAGGGTTTCTCTGTGGCTTTGGAGCCTGTCCTGGAACTAGCTCTGTAGACCAGGCTGGTCTCGAACTCACAGAGATCCGCCTGCCTCTGCCTCCCGAGTGCTGGGATTAAAGGCGTGCGCCACCACCGCCCGGCTAGGATTAATTTTTTTAACAGAGGGTCTTTCTGGAATTCACCACGTAGTAGGGAATGACTCTAACTCACTGAGTTCCTCCTGCCTCAGCACTCTCGAGCCTGCACCATAACGCCTGACGTCTGCTTTAACTTTATTCCTAAATTTCGTTAAAAAGTAACTTCATTAAAGTCCACACATCTCGAGTATGACGATGGAATGGGAAGTATTTTACATTTGGACACGTGTAAAACACGTGAAACACGCCATTAAGCACGGCCTCTGCATTCTGACCTCTTCCCAGGTTTTGCGGCGGTTCCCGAAGCCCCTTTTCGGGACGCGGGTAGCTGATCATCCGTGCTTTTCACACACTCCCTTCTGAAGAACCCTGTTTTAGCAAAAGCACTGCCTTTCTCACCGGCTGGGAACTTACCTTGGCTGCACACTGCTGCCTCCCTCTGACCCTAGGGGGCACCTGAGTCTGCAACAACTCGGCTGGTGCAGTGACGCGTAGGCCCCGCCCCATACAGACAGGCTCCGCCCCTGAGAAGACGCCCGGGCTCCTGTCCTATAGGTCCTACCCGGGCGTGAAAACCCCGCCCAGAACGCACTGACGCCTACGCTCGCCAGGCCACGCTCAAGACTCTCAGGCCCCTCCTACATCATATTGACCCTCCCTCTCTGGCACAAGGACTCCGCCCCCCAACCAAGGCCTCGCCCCCGCGCTGGCAAAAGGGCTCCGCCCAGAGCGCGTAGGTCCCGCCCTTCGCAGGTGCGGAGTTTGCGCTGCGGCGGAAATGGCCGAGGCGGGGCGAGCGCCCGGACCCTCCCACTCCCTGGGCCTGCGAGCTCCTCCCACTCCGGGTCACGCCGCGATAGGGGCGGAAGCGGCGGCGGTCGAGGTGCTGCAGCTGCTGGTGCGGATCCTGCCGTCCTGTGCAGCCCCGGGCAGCGCTGCCGCCTGGCCAGCGCTCTGAGGTAGGGACTAGCGGCTCCGCGGACGCGCCCTGGGGAGGGCGTCGGGTTTCGGGTAACAGAGCCGCACAAAGCGGCCGGCTGTGGGGCGAGCCCAGGCGGGAGGCGCGCGCGTTCCCCGGGGCACCCCGGCGTCCCGCGTCTGGAAGGGTTGGCGCGGGGGACCCTGTGCGAGCCGGGGCTTCCCGCGCTGGGCTGCGGGTTTTCCCACTCGCCGCTGTCTCCGAAGCCTGCCCGGAGCCTCTTGCGGCTCGGCCGGCCAGAGGTGAGTTGGGGTGGCGGCTGCACCTGGCACGCTGGCGCCGTCTCCAGCCCCAAACCGGGCGAAGGGGACCACAGGCTGGGTTTCTACCGGGGCTCTAGGAACCCCGCAACCCGGAGGAGGGCCCTCACTCTGGGAACCCACCCAGGGCCGTCGAACCCTTCAGCATGGAGGCGGGACCCCATTCTTTGCTCCCACCCAGGTTGTAGGAACCCCTTAGCCTGGAACAAGGACCACACGCTGGGCTCCCACTCGGGGCTGTGGGAACCCCCCAGCCGCGAAGAGAGTCCAGGCTGCGCTCCCAGTCGCGGCCGTGGGGGAACCCCGTAGCCGGGAGGAGGGACCCTAGATGTGCTCCCAGCCTGGGCCCAGGGAACCCCGCAGCCAGGAGGAGGAACTCCAGACTGCCCTCCTACCCAGGGCGTCGGGGGATCCCCACAGCAGGAGGAGGGGCCTCAGGCTTTTCTTCCCACGCTGGGCTCTCATCGGGGGGCTATGGGGAGCCCCGCGGCCAGGAGGAGAGACCCCACGCCAGGCTCCCCACCTGGGGCAGTGAGGCGCCGTCGGGTTTGCAGATGTAGCGGGTAACCCCAGCGCAGCTGCCCTGATTGCTCCCGGGATGCCTCCCCTGGGGATTGCACACCGCCAGGTTCGGGCTCTGGTAGCTGTTAGTCTGCGCAGCTGGCACGTGAGAGCAAGGAAGAAGCATGCCCAGCTGCAGAAAGTTGGGGTTGAGTGATCTGGAAGTCAACCACAGAGGCCCAAGTCCTTGAGCTCGCCAGAGACCATGTCTGTTGTTTGGAGAGTCCCCCAGTAAACACAGGCACAGGCAGAACTCTGGCTTTGGCTAGTTCCTCTCCCCACCCCCGCCCCCAACTCACAGCAGTCCTCCTGCCTCGATCTCTCTGCTGGAATACAGAGCCACAGCATCTGCTTTGAATGTTTACAAAATATATTGTGGTGAAAGCCTTTGAGGTTTTCTTCTGAGGGTACATGAGACAATTCTCATTAATAATTGTCTTCCATACAGGGAACAGTCAAGAAAAGACAAGGGGCAATAGGGAATTCAGAATTGAATTATTGAGTTGGTATTCAATATTAAATTATAGCACTGGGTTTGTCTTTCTGAAACTGAGATTGGCATGGGAATATGAGGTGCCCAGCTTGCCTTATTTTAAGTGACCCAAGGGGATTGCAGTTTGCTAGCGAAGTTTCTAGTAGTTTGCTCTTTTCTTACAACTAGCACTGCCTCTACCGTGAATTTTTTCTCTATTTTGGATTCTTTTTGATTCATGTTTTTATAAATTTTATAGTTGGTGTTTAAATAGTTTAAGTAGTTTGAATAAGCTACATTCAGAACGCCTGGGAGTTATTTTAAACATAACTCTAAATATTGCTCTATTCACTTGTATCTTAATCTTTTAATCAAAAGAAAATCAAAACTCTGCATTTAAAATTAGGAAGAAATCGGCTTATAAAATATTGACCATGAAGCAAATTCTATACTGTGCCATCCCTTAAAATAAGGCAAGCTGGGCGCCTCATAGTCCCATGAGTTTCAGAAATACGGACCCAGTGATTTAATTTAACATTGAGTACCCAGCCCAGTAATGGAGTTGTGAATTCCCTGTTGCCTCGTGTCTTTTCTTGACCGTTGGTCTCTTTACTGAAGAATCAGGTGGGAGGGAGCAGCTGTGTGTGGTGCTTTTCTCCTGTGATCCCATCATTCTGGAGACAGAGAAAGGAGATTGTCGAGAGTTAGAGTAGCCAGGGCTACATGTAAAACCCTGAGCTAACAAGAAAACCAGGTGGGAAAGCAGTCAGCATACTTGTTTGTTTTAATGACCCTTTATTTCGAAGAGTAGATTTTCAAACAGAAGTTTGCCGACTTCAGCTCAAATCATTTCCCCTTCATTTTAATGAGGACCCAGGGACTGAGCAACAGTGGAAACGCGGATGAATTGCTCAGTTGCTCAGTGCGTTAGAGAGTGAAAGCTCTTTGCTCTGATTGGATTCTTACAGGTGAGGATGCACTGCCTCGAAAACTTTCAGATCTGATAGCTCCTACAGTGTTCTCATTTCTGCAGATAGTTCTTGTGTAAAAATGTGAGATGTCTGGAAACCATGCTTGGTTTTAGGAGCCATGCGTTTCTGGCTTATGTTCAGTGTTGCATAAATCGAGGCTAATTTCTCGTGTTCCTGAACCGCACATTGAGCTTCAAGTGCTCTTGCTACAGTTCTTACGTGTACTAACTAGGCTTCGTGAACACAGAATATTTACGTATTCTATTTGTGGCCCATCTTGTGAATGCAGAATACATGTTTTACATGTAAAGAAATTTATGTATTTTTATGTGTGTGAAAATATTTAGGTGAATGGTTAAGTTGGACACCCTTTTTGAAAGTACAGATAAGGCAAGAGACATAGCCCAGTGGTAGAATGCTTGCCTACAGCACAACATAAAATAAGTTAATTTTAAAAGTGCGACTGGAATCTGGAAAGTTCATTGTTGTTGTTGTTTTGGCATAAGTTCTCTGTGTAGCTCTGGCTGTCCTAGAACTTGCTCTGTGGACCAGGCTGGCCTTGAACTAGGAAACCCACCTGCTTCGTCTCCTGAGTGCTGGAATTGAAGGCATGCACCACCACTGCCAGGCTCAGAAAGTCTTTATTTAACGAGAATTGAAGGTAGATTGTATTTCTACTATTAGCACTGTACCAGCGTAGTGGAATCCATAGGACGGATTTTATTTTTTTGTGTTGGGGACTTAGTTCAGGGCCTCATGCACACCAGGCTTGTCTTTTATCATTGAACTAAAATAACACATTGGGGGCCAGTGAGACACAGAGATGGATCAGCAGGTGAAGGGCTTTTGCTGCCAAACCTAATCACCCGAGTTTGATCCCTGGAACACACATGGGAGGAGAGAATTGGTTCCTCCCAGAGGTTGACCTCTGACCTCCACATTTGTGCTATGGTATGTGCCCCCCCCCAGTACATAAACATAAAGAAAAAAATGCCTCTTAAAAAAAGTCATCTTCTGCATCTTAGAAGATGTAGTCTTACTGTGTTTGTAGCTAGCATTCTGCTGGCTTGCAGAAAGTAATGAAAAGTTGAACCACCCACAGTATTGATGTTGTAATTTCTTAGTGTGGATGTGAGAGTTTGCATGTGTTGTTAATAATTTATGAGAACTGGACTTGCGGACATGAATGCAACTTACAAGTGGAAACCGAGTATACAAGGTCTTCAGGCTTTTCTCCAAGATTAACAGGCGTGGCATCAGTTCCTGCCCTCTGTGGTGCCGCTTTGTTGCCCCCACGTTACCCACACAGATGTCCTCCTTACTCTTCCTTCCTCCGTTTGGTGTGTGAGCGATGGCATGGCAGGAAAGGCCGAATAACTATAGATTAATAGGTCATTGTTTACTCTAAGCGTTTTCTTATCTTACTGAATATTTTCTAATAGCTCATACTCTTTCATGGGTTCAATGCCTAATTCATAGATGTTTGGTTTTGAGACAGTGGCTCACGTCCAGACTGGCCTTGAACTCACTGTGCAGCTGAAACTGGCTGTGAATTCCCAGTTCTGCCACCATCTCCTTCTCCACTGGAACTGCAGGCATGAGTGGCCGGCCACACCCGCCAGATGTTTGCTCTCGGGGCTTGTTAGCCATGCTGTCAGCAGACCAGTATGGAAATTAAGATTTGTCTAGTAGAAGATAATAGTGCTTTTATCTAATCCAGATTCTCGTATTCTATGTAGGAGTATTCCTGTACAGTGCCTGGTATTTCTTAACTTGTACTCAGGAGAAATAAGTAAGTCTTATACTAAGACATTTAAATCGAGGAAACCCTAACAGGACAGTTAGGTGGAGGGGCCATAGCAAAAACTGACAAGGTAACCCATGCAGCCCTGGCTGGCCTGGATTTGTTGTGTATCAGAGGATGACCTGGAACTTCTGGTCCTCCTGCCTCTGCCTCCCAAGTTCAAGGTTGACAGGTGCACATCAGCATGCTTGGCTTGTTCTCCTTTTATACACGACAGCACAGACATCAGGAGGTTAAACCACTTGGAAGTGGGGGTTTTATCCTCACGCTGCTCGTGACAATGGCTTGAAATATCAGCACATGCTAATAATTTAATGGTTTATTCCGCCCCCCCCCTCCAGATTTTCCAAAAACAATGGCA